CCCCAAAACCCCAAAACCCCAAAACCCCAAAACCCCAGACCAAATTACAGTTGCCTAAATTATATAAAATATTTTCTAAATGTCAGAGAACTTGTCAAGTCAAAATCTGGTAGGGAGGAAACCAGAAGTAGGCGATATACCTTCAAATATGTCAAGTATCACTTCATCTATGATGGATATCTAAATTTAGGGGAATAGGTAATAATGGTGAATCAAGTGACGGAAGTTTCTCGTCAAGCTCAATTCGTAAGTTTTCACTGCAAGTTCTTGCAGTGAAATAGAAATCAAAGGAAGAATATTGTTGATATACAAGTTTGTAATTGTTCAATAAAATATTCTGTCCCTTTTAAGTATAACCTCTTTTTTACAAGATCAAGATGAGATAGATTTAATTTTTCAGGATTTTTGTAAAATAAAGTGTCGAAATTATGAAATATGAAATTTTAAAGAAGAGGAAGTATATATTGGCTAAGAAAATGGACAAATTAGATTATATGCCGCTACATTAAGTAAACCTGAGTTGTTTTAAATCCGAAATTTCTCCTCTATAACCTTAGTACTGCTATCAAATTTTAAGTAAAAATCCAAAAATTTCTGAAGCAATGGTGACTATTTCCTATTTTCCTTCAAGAGGCTCTGGGATTGCTAAATGAAATATTTGTTATTGCAACCTGACGAATCTGGCTACCCCATCATAGTAAACTCTCTTTGGTTAGGTTAAGCTAGCCACTATATCTGGTGAATTTTCAAAAGTTTATAATCGTCTTTTCTTCGACCAAATGTAGAAAACTCAAATCCAATAAATAACCTGAAGTGCATGAACTGGCACTTGAGCTCAAAGAGTTTAGTAATTTTACTTGAATTCCCTGGCTGTATGAGATCATGGTTTCTCCAGCATCCAGCATTGAATAATCTTGGTTTAGACTCGGAGATCAATGAGCAGAGCTTGCCATCTGTGTCAATAACGAAGGCTCCATCCATCAATGATACGTAGGTTTATGGTTAAGTTTCTGGAATCAAAGAAATCAGTTCAGAAATTATTAAAAATAGATTTTAACCTAGAAAGTGGTGAGAAGTCTCGCTAGAGGATCTTCCGGTCCTACTCTGTTAGAATACCTTATTCGGAAGCCCTATTTGCTCCTTGTTTTTGTCTGAAATTTCTTGTAAAGGTTCACAGCACTTTGTGGGTTTTAAACAACCTCAATTTCCTAAATTTCTGTAATCAAGATGAAACGATTAACAAAACTATTAGTCAACAGAAACCCAAGATGGCAACTTTGGGAGCCACACTGAAAGTCGGTCATATAGGTATGAATGCCTGAGGATTACTACTCAGAGCTTGGATTATCTCTTTTTAACCTGAGATGTGAGTCTTAGAGTGAGATTAGCCAAAACTTATTTATATCACTTTTTAGTTCTTAAGGTATTTTTACTTCTTGTATGTCCTTAAGATTTTATATTTACTCTTATGACTAAATAGGGGTAAAATTCTACTTTTCCTCTTTGCTCAGCCCCAATTCTTCTTCGATCTAGCCACTGAGACTCCGACTCTCTATAACACGATGAGGAGGGTAAGTAATGTTAAGTTTTTGTGGTAATTAGTCCAAAATTTGGATTTACTTTGGAAAAGCGTATTTTTATGACCCTAATTTGCATTTTCAAGCAGGAAACTAGTGTATTTATCTACCGAAACTTCAGAACTATTGCAAACTATCGGGGATGATGATGGACTGCTTTCCTGATACATCTCTTGGGTCTTTTAATACTCCATGAACCTAGGAAACCTTTTTTTAGGGGGAATTTAGCACTTGAAAAAAAATTATGAATCTTCTATTACAGATTTTTAACTCCATGTAGCAATCAATGGTGATCCCTGATTTAATGGAAGTAAAATTTCAAGGGAAAGTGCAAGAATCTTCCTCAATTCTTGGGAAGTTCGCTGCTCCTGAGCAGCCGGATTTTAAGGATATAGTGAGCTCTGTACTTGGCAAATCTCCAAGGTATTGGTGATCTCTCATAATCTAGACCTGGAAGAAACTTTGCTCGGGGCAAGACCATCATAAGGAACTCCCTCCAACCAAATAATTCTTTCCTAGAGCAGATCAATGATAGCTCAGAAATGTCAGAGCAGTATGAAGTCGATGACGGTGATGAGGATGAGGAAGACCAACAAGTTGAGATTAAGGTCAAAAGATGATGCTTCTGGCGCGCTCATAGCCAGATTAGGATCCGCTGGGACCTCTTCATCATCCTCCTCGCCACTGTGAATTGCTTTCAAGTCCCTTATAATGTTGCCTTTACTGATATCGAGGACTCAAACATTGGTCTAGATATTTTTAACGGCTTTATAGACTTTTTCTTTATGATGGATGTAGCCATTAACTTCAGGACTTCATATATAAACGAATTGACTGGGAATGAGATCCTTGACACAAAGCTTATAGCAGTGAAATATTTGAAAACCAGGTTTTTCATTGACTTGTTGGCCTCCATCCCTCTTGATTTCATGAGCTACGCAGTGAGTAACTCTAAGAGCAATACTTTTCTACTCCAGATGCTTGGATTGCTGAAATTAGTGAGAGTTCTGAGGCTATCAAGACTCATCACTTACCTTAACTTTAAGAATGATATCAAAATGACGTTCAAATTAATTAAACTGGTGTTCTTCTTAGTGCTCTACCTGCACTGAATGGGCTGAGTCTGGTTTTTCATCGTTAAACAAGACAAGCACTGGATACCTCCATTGGACTATGTGTTTATAACAACCGAACTTTGGGACAAGAGCTCTTTTTATAAATACACAGTAAGTGGCTTTGAGTAATGTTCTAGACTTCTTTGTATCATGCTGTGCTCATGCTTGGGGGAAATGACGTCGGACCAAGAGGAAACCTCCAGCTTGCATTTGTAACCCTGATGTTAGTCATGGCTGCAATTATTAATGCCAATATCTTCGGTAACATCGCTGTACTGATCCAGTCATTAAACAGAAAAGCTTCGAACTTTCAGGAGAAAATGGAGTATGCAAGTGAGACTATGAAGAACCTGAAGATCCCTGAAGAGATCCAGGATGAAGTCAAGAGCTACCTGACGTATACACAGACCACGCTTGATCACCAGAAGGATCTAGATCTCTTCTTGAATATGCTCTCGCCTAGTCTGAAGCATGAGGTTAGTGTACATATTTTCCATGATACTATCTCTATGAACGATTGCTTTAAAGGTAAATTAGCTTACATAACACTTTAGAGGATGGTGAGGTAGTTAAGTCGATACTGAACGACCTCAAGATCAACTTGCTCCTCCCAGAAGATAAAATTATCAGGCAGGGTGATGCCGCAGAATGCATGTACTTCCTTGCCAAGGGTGAATGTGATGTATTTGTCACTGATGAGCATCAGATCGAGAAGTTCACCAGATCTCTGAAAGGAGGCAGTTACTTCGGAGAGGTATCTCTTCTAAAGAACTGCTTGAGAACTGCTTCTGTGATCAGTAAATAACTATTCAACCTGCGCTAAACTAGATAAAGCGTCCTTTTTCAGGCTAACTGAGCGCTACCAATTTATAAAGGAGAGTATGCTTGACCATATGAGGGAAGACTACCAGGACAAATGGAAGAGGTTTATCAAGAGGTGTATTCGAAACATCGACTATCTCAGCTATGGAATCCCTGATAAAATCGTTGAGGAAATGACATACCTATTCGAACTGACTAGCTTGAAGGAGGGAAACTACCTCTTCCGTGCTGGAGAAGTCTGTAAGGATATCTACATCATTAATAATGGGGAGCTGAATATCTATGTCCACAATAACTCGAAAGAGACATACCTGGAGTCTTTATACACAGGATGTAGCATAGGTGCATACTCCTCTCTAAGCCAAGAAGCCTTCACTATTTCTGGTAGAGCCAAGACTGACATCACTTTGCTAAAACTGCCATTTAGTAAAATGTCAGAATTAAGGGAGAAATTTGAGGATCTAGACAAAGTTATGAGTGAATATGAAGCCTATATAGAGGAAAATGGCCTTCCTTACTGCGATTATCGACTGCTGAGGAACAAAAATTCAGATATGACTCCTAAGGAGAAATTCAAATCGGGTGTCAACCGAGTGATGAGGATCATCAGGTCATATAAAAGTTCGGCATTTGCTGACCTTATGGACAAAATTCGTGCGAAAATGAAACAAGAAAAGGACATGAAAGAGAACAGAAGGAGGTCTGTCATCATGCGTAACGTTCCTCTTACACCTGAAGAGAGGACCCAGCAGATACTCATAGACTTATAGTTAGCAAAGTTGAGTCTCTTAAAGACAAGATTGACCGCCAAGATAAACAAATCGGTAACTTGAAGCAAGAACTAGGTGCCAAAATTGAGCAACTGAAATGATATCAGGGCAGCTCTTTTGAGTTTTCAGGAGAATCAAGCAACATGAAAACTCCGAAATCCAAGAAATCAAAGAAGAAGATCTGTGGAAAGAATATTATCAAGGATACCAAACCGAAGGCTGGGGATAGGAACTCAAATTACTTGATCAAGATTGAGCCTGCCAAGACCATCCCTGCACCTAATTGTGAGAGCGGGCGTCCTAAAATTTCACGGAACAGCATGATGGTAAATCCATCTAAGGTTCTTATGACTGGGAATAGCCTTAAATAAACCTGTAATGAAAGAGATTATAGAGGAAGGATCAGTGTCTTCTAAGAAGAGCCAGAATGAAGAATCACTAGATGGGGATACCTTCAACCAGGAGTCTTTCGAACGATTTGACACTGAAAGCAAACTTGACCTTGATAATGATCATGTTCTTAACAAAGAGGAACTGAAGGAAGATCAACTCCAGATCCCAACCCTTATCGAAGATGATCCACAGAACAAGTATTTTGCGAATATAACTTATAGTTCATTGATCATCAAAGCTGATAAAGCCAAATTACTAAAGCGGAAAAAGGCAGACAAGAATGAAGTCTCTGTAAAAATGGAAGAGAAATTAAGTAAGTTTCTGTGGTCTAATCCCTCTAGATCTCACTAGTTTGGATTTCTTATCTGAAGACAAGCAATCTGAAGGATAAGTGGTTTAGAACAAGGCATCTTAGAGAATTTTTGTGTGAATGAAACCCAGATGCCATTGTTCTTATTATAAACTATAAATTTATTTCGTAAGCACATTTAGATAATCTTCAATCCTCTTTGTTTTATTTGGGGTTTTGGGGTTTTGGGGTTTTGGGGTTTTGGGGTTTTGGGG